CCTCGTTCTTGTTCCGAGTGGGTCTCGAACCCGGGTCGACGGCATGGGAGGCGGACGCACTAACAAGGAGGCTAAAGACTGCAGCCTCTAGCGTCAGTCGCTAGTGTGTCTCTTGAGATCAGGGAAGTGAGGTTTACCTGCACAGCACTTACTCGCTGGCCTCCGTTACACTCACCCCCCTAACCATCACTCCCATCCGGGTCACGGCACCAATGTAACCCTCTCTCCCGGGTCCTCACCGCCACGCCTCGTTCTTGTTCCGAGTGGGTCTCGAACCCGGGTCGACGGCATGGGAGGCGGACGCACTAACAAGGAGGCTAAAGACTGCAGCCTCTAGCGTCAGTCGCTAGTGTGTCTCTTGAGATCAGGGAAGTGAGGTTTACCTGCACAGCACTTACTCGCTGGCCTCCGTTACACTCACCCCCCTAACCATCACTCCCATCCGGGTCACGGCACCAATGTAACCCTCTCTCCCGGGTCCCCACCGCCACGCCTCGTTCTTGTTCCGAGTGGGTCTCGAACCCGGGTCAACGGCATGGGAGGCGGACGCACTAACAAGGAGGCTAAAGACTGCAGCCTCTAGCGTCAGTCGCTAGTGTGTCTCTTGAGATCAGGGAAGTGAGGTTTACCTGCACAGCACTTACTCGCTGGCCTCCGTTACACTCACCCCCCTAACCATCACTCCCATCCGGGTCACGGCACCAATGTAACCCTCTCTCCCGGGTCCTCACCGCCACGCCTCGTTCTTGTTCCGAGTGGGTCTCGAACCTGGGTCAACGGCATGGGAGGCGGACGCACTAACAAGGAGGCTAAAGACTGCAGCCTCTAACGTCAGTCGCTAGTGTGTCTCTTGAGATCAGGGGAGTGAGGTTTACCTGCACAGCACTTACTCGCTGGCCTCCGTTACATGAGCAAATCATCAAATGCCATATATGAGTGAAATGGGGTGTTGAACAGGGACTTGGCTTAAGCCTGAATCTGTGCTGCTCATTAGACTAAACAGACCTGACCGGTCATTGTTGTGTCTGGTCACCGGTCTGTCTGGAGCGGCTTTTGACCAGCACAATCTGTCAGCCGTGGCCTCATGGGCATGACAAGCCACCACACACACACACACACACACACACACAATCAGCGTCCACAACAGCTGCAAAATGTTCTTTTCTCAGTTACATGATGAATCATGCTGAAAATCCTGACTGGACCTGAATAGATCAGCTCGGTCTCTAGATAGGGAGGAAAAAGGGGCGTGTGCCTTAATCTGCACACTAGCAGATCAATAACACAAATATCTGAAAGATTTCAATGACTGGACTCTTCATGCTGGGGATCATGATAAGCAACACACATCAACAAATCATAAATGATCATCTCAGAAAATAACAATGCCTTTTTTCCCCTCATGCATGGAAACAATGAGAAGTGTTAATGATGATGCATATTGCTCTCAGACACAATACCGAACAGTGTACCGTAAATCAAACCTTGTGATTACTGTACCCTATCACAAAACTAGTGACATTTATCAGTGATTAAATAATCAATAGGTTGGTTTTCATCACATTATTATTATTATTATAATGGGCTATAAATATTTTTAAATACATGATTTCACATATATTAGATAGTAAAAATATAATTTGTACAATACTGACTACTAAAATGTATGCATTTTTATTTCAAAATTTTTTTTTTTTAATAATTACAAAAACAATTTTTTTTATACATTTACATAAAGCAATCGTTCATACAACACACACACAAAATACTGAACTCACCAAACATCAGGCACTGGATAGACGCGACCGACATCTCTGCAGCTTTAAACGATCGCATTGAGAAATTGTGTTATGCTACCGACGAGACACACTAACATGAATTAATCATCGGAATTAAAAACAGAAGGTCAGCTGATGGGCAGACGAAGCACGCGACTGTCTGTCCGCACGAGTGAGATATACTGTGCAGATCGGCAGCCGTGACTGCGAGGAAAGCCGGACGGTAGCTTGTGTGCTGCTCTTCTTGCAGTCAATGGACTTACAGCGATACACTGAGGATTTTGGAGGGTTCGATTCCTGGCGCAGTGACTGCAGGCGACCCGCTGCAGCGACGCAGGGTCCTAAACGCCGCGGGTTTTGTTAGTATGAAACTAGAATGAACGGTCAGCGATGGAATTCTGGAGTCGACCAATCGGAGAGCTCCGATTATGATCAACAACGCAAGTTTCACGAAGTGCATAACCATAACCAAACAAGATTGTAATTTAATGCGCTGTAGTTTATTTGCGAATCCAGGTGTGAAAACTTGTTGCATCTTTCCCAAAAAGACTCATGGCTGTATTAGATCAAAAGGGTGCTTCTACTAAATACTGAGCAAAGGGTCTGAATACTTAGGACCATGTGATATTTCAGTTTTTCTTTTTTAATAAATCTGCAAAAATGTCAACAATTCTGTGTTTTTCTGTCAATATGGGGTGCTGTGTGTACATTGAGGAAAAAAAATTTACTTAAATGATTTTAGCAAATGGCTGCAATATAACACGGAGTGAAAAATTGAAGGGGGTCTGAATACTTAACATACCCACTGTACATAAAAAAGTTGCAATTTGAGGAAGCTTCCAAAAGGTACTGAAAGCAATTTAAAAAAAAAAAATTGCACAAAAAAAAATGCTATATATAATTTTTTTTTTTTTTGTGCGTGCAATTAAAAACAATTGCTTTCAGTACCTTTTGGAAGCTTCCTCAAAGAAAATAAAGGTAACTGCAACAGTTTATATTAATGTTCTGGAGCTTTATTTCGCATAATTCAAATTTTTCTCAAACTCTCAGAATTCTATTCTGAGTATTCTGTATTCAAAACCTCACAGTTGAATGTTCTTGACACAAGCATTTTCCTCACAACGTAAACTCAGAATCCTGAAGAAGAAACTCAGAATTGAGATTAAAAAAAAAAAAAATTTCATTGTGTGAACTCAATGTTAATTAAACTGCTATGTAAATTCAGAATCTAGAGCAAAAAGGCAAATTTGCAACAACTCAGAATTTTGAGAAAACCGTAGAATTTAAACTTGCAATTCTAAGGAAAAAATTGTGAAAGTCAATGACCTTTTTAATATATTTTTTTCCCCCCACAGGCGCTAACAAGCTTCATTAAGAAGAGATTACAAAACTGTAATAATTCAAAACAGTCAATTACATACACATATGTATATATGTGTATTTTCAAAAATGAAAATTCTGTCATTAATTACTCACCCTCATGTCGTCTCAAACCCACAAGACCTTTGTTCGTGAATCATTTTTGTGCACAAAAGAAAACAAAAACGAATGTATTCAACAATTCGTAGCGCCATTGTAGCGCCATTTTGGAGAGTATCCGCTGGACGTAAACAACGTATGCGGTTCACTGTCAGCTACATTTCTGGACTTGGGAGCATTTCAGTTGTATTGCTGTCTATGCAGGGTCAGACAACTCTCAGATTCCATCAAAAATATCTTAATTGAGTTCCGAAGTTGAACGAAGGTCTTACGGGTTACAAACGACATGAGGGTGAGTAAGTAATGACAGAATTTTCATTTGTGGGTGAACTAACCCTTTAAGATTTATTGTTCAGAACATAACAGTACAAAAGTAATTTTTTACATCACAAATTTAATAAATGCAGTACTTCTGCAAAACTGACATTATAGAAAGTTCAAGAACGACATTTCACATGCAGCCGACAAGACCGCACAAGCCAAGCGGATCACTTCAACCGTAACGACTACGGTAACAAGCTCATGAAAGGACCAAAAACAATATTCAATCCACGTAACAATTTCTCCGACAAACCTCATAACAGAATATATACAAGTCCAAGAGATTCGAAGCAACTGCTCGTGAACTAATCCAGAACGAGTGCCTAGAACTGCTGTGCGATGAGCTTTTTCTTGGCGTCGTGGGAGAATTTGTTAGAGCGGAACAGGTCGCTGTCGTAAAACGCAGACAGGTTGTGGATGTTAATCTGCCGGGCCTGAGAACAAAAAAAAGATAGTGTTACAACACAAATTCGCAAATAACACATGCAACTTCAGTACTTATGGGGACTTCTCGATTTAAACATCTATTAGTTACCTTGTCCACCAGATCTTTTTCAGGAATCTCGATGGTGTCCTGCTGGGCTCCGTAACGGTTGCGCTGATACGCAACCTGCTCGGAAACCAGCTGCTTCAGGACGAAGAGCAGCAGCTCGTTGTTGTCTCGTCTGAACGCCAGATACCGTGCAAATGTCTGTAAAAATGCAACAAATACGAGTTCGGTTACCAACGTAAACCAGGATCGGACAGAATCCTTGGAGTCACTAGACTTGCACGGCTACCACAAATGGAAAATTGATGCCAGATGGATATAATCAGGTTGCTTACCTTCCGCATGCTCCTCATCACGCTGAACTTCTGCGTGTCAATGAAGCTTTCTAGCATGACACGGATAGCCATGTTCACGTCGTCCTCCAGCACGTAATCCCGCAGATGCATGCGGGCGTGAGCCTCGGCCATGCGGATCATGGACTCTATGTGACGCACGGTAATCGGGATACTTCCTGTAGCCTGCGAGACAGCATATGATTACTACGATGTTTCTGCGATAACTGCGTTTTCTGCGTGCATTTAACGAATAATTGCAGAATGGCCTGAAAAATGGTGGAACTTTTTAAAATCGCCTTTGGCTTCAAATGCGACTCTTACCATAGACTCTTTTCGAAGGTCGCTGTAAATTCGGGCAACCTTGTCTTGGTCCATCTGGTTGAGTTTCGGTCGCACCCGCTCTTTGGCGTACATGATGTACTTCCTGAGCAGCTCCTGAGGGATGGGCGGGACATCAAAGGTGTTTGGCAGCACCACCTCCTCTAGACTGGCCATGCCCCCTTCTTTGTTGCTTGGGTGATGTTTGATGTGGCTGCCCACCACGAAGCGAGCCAGCATTTCATCCTAAACCAAAGAGAATTATCGATTGACAAAGCTTGGGCAGTCACTGTTAAGAGTGTTTACATGACAACAATGTACAAAAAATTGAAAGTTTTGCATTTTTTAAATTTTGCATACAGATGCTAAATTTTGTAAAAATGATCCCAGTTCGCATGGATCCACGAAAATGGCTAAAAACGCAGTATTATGTGTGCCAGGCCAGTAGATGGCGAGGTCAACTTCGCACGTACCTATACAATGAACACATAATATACAAGCACATTACTTTTTTGTAGTTTACACAGAGACGACTACGGTATTGTTCTGAAAAACTTGCACTTTGAAACCAGTTTTGAAACTTTACAGGCCCCCAAAACGCTGTTGTCATGTAAATGAACGGCCAAAATGCATAAAAAGTAAAAATACACTTTTATTTGAAAACTGTGAACACCCCTAAGATGTCAACAGACTTACCTGCACAGGATCGACGGTGTCTCTTACGACGCAAAGAACGTCAAATCGAGATATGATGGGCTCCGTCAGGTCCACGTTTTCAGAAAATGTGAGAGACGGGTCGTAACGTCCACCTTTTAAGAAAAAGAAAACTTTCCTAAGAAAAATGATTGCTGCCAAAAACACTGCTGCAACTTTTGGTCCAGCAGAAAGTAATTAAGAACATGACTGCATTTTAGATTAACATGCAACTCTTAAAGTGCCGATGGCAAAATTGAAGTTATGACCCTCATTTAAACTTTCATTAAAACGCTCCCAGAACGCACCGATAGGATTGGCGGCAGCCATGACAGTACAGCGAGCCTGCAGCGATGTGACAATCCCAGCTTTAGAAATGGAGATGCTCTGCTGCTCCATGGCTTCATGGATGCTGGTCCTGTCCTGATCGTTCATCTAAATAATGAAGAAAAAGCAGGTTCACTTAAGCATTCAACTAAAAATTGCTCTAAATTGGTCCAAAAATTGGTGAAAGTGCATCAAAAACATCTTTAAAGCTACAAACTGGTCCCATTTTTAACGTTCGCTCACCTTATCAAACTCGTCAATGAGGCAGACTCCACGGTCCGCCAGCACCAAAGCTCCCGCCTCCAGCGTCCACTCTCGAGTCACGGGATGACGTTGCACATAAGCCGTCAGACCCACGGCGGAAGCGCCCTGACCTGTAGTGAAGACAGCGCGACTCGCAACCTTCTCGATGTACTTTAGGAACTGGGACTTGGCTGTGCCTGGATCTCCACACAGGAGAACGTTAATATCACCACGCACCTTGTGCTTCCCGCCTGTTGAGGGAGCCAGAAGACAATTGAGCAACTTTCACTCTGAAGGACTTAAAAAAAAAAAAAAAAAAGTAATAGCTGTGAAAAGGATACCTGGATTCTTGGCTTCGCCGCCAAACAGAGCAAGCGCTAGACCGCGTTTGATGTCCTCGTGCCCATAAATGGAAGGACCAATACTTGCGAAAATCTGGAGGGAAGTTAAGATTAATCTGGAGAAACTTTCTGATACACTCTGAAGTTACAGCTTAAACTGTGTGACCATTGCTCACCCGTTCTCCGATGCGCTCGTCTTTGGACAGAGCCACGATGGCTTTGATGTCTTCGTCGGTGAGCTCCGCCACAGCCACGCCCTGATCCTTACGGGCGATGTGATTGGCCAGGATTACAGTAGCAAAAACGGGGAAGCCATTGAGCAACTTTCCCTCTGAAGGACTTAAAAAAAAAAAAAAAAAAAAAAAAAAAAAGTAATAGCTGTGAAAAGGATACCTGGATTCTTGGCTTCGCCGCCAAACAGAGCAAGCGCTAGACCGCGTTTGATGTCCTCGTGCCCATAAATGGAAGGACCAATACTTGCGAAAATCTGGAGGGAAGTTAAGATTAATCTGGAGAAACTTTCTGATACACTCTGAAGTTACAGCTTAAACTGTGTGACCATTGCTCACCCGTTCTCCGATGCGCTCGTCTTTGGACAGAGCCACGATGGCTTTGATGTCTTCGTCGGTGAGCTCCGCCACAGCCACGCCCTGATCCTTACGGGCGATGTGATTGGCCAGGATTACAGTAGCAAAAACGGGGAAGCCATTAGCCATGTTGAGAGAGCCGTCATAGTTGTTGTGGTAGATTCCTGTGAGCTCCTGTAAAAATAAACCATTTTGAGGTTATATTTTATTCAAAAATATATCAAAGTATTATTTACAATGTTACATAGTGGGAAAATATATAAATGCACACACATTTGAAACTAATTTTACTTGAATATTATTTTATATAGTTAGTGATATAAATATCTCAAGTCTCTGTTGAGGTAGATTCCTGTAAGTTCCTAATAATATTCAAGTATTATTTGCAATATAATGAAGAAAAAATACAAACAAATTAGTGCAGTCAAAAGATTAATCATGCATGCATACATTTAAGAAAAATATGTTAATATATTAAATGTATTTATAAATAATATACATTTATGAATATACATATATGCATGTTAATACAAGGAAGTATTTTCAAAATATATATTGTGTGTGTGTGCATTTATATATACACATAATAAATATACACAGTACACACTATGTAAACAAAAACTTTTATTTTGGATTCAAATAATTGCGATTAATCGTTTGACAGCACTAAATTTAATTCAATATTATATGATTTAGTTGTAATAATACAGATATTATAAAAAGATGTAGCTGTGGTGGATTCCTGTGAGCTCCAGCAACAATAATACATTTTTGGAAGGAAATATTTGTATTTATATTCAAACATTATTTACAACATTAAATAATGGACAATATGTAAATATACATTTAGAGGGGCATATTTTTCGTCAATAATATTTGATATAGTTAGTGATATAAAAATTACAAGAAGTCATAGATGCTATGGTAGATTCTTGTGAGCTCCAGCAAAACATTTTTGGAGGGTCTATTTAATTTAAATATATAGAAATATTATTTGACATGTTATATAGTAAAAAATTGGATACAAATACACATTTAGGCAGTGTATTTACTTTATATATTACTTATAAATTACATAATTATAGTGATAGAAGTAACACACAAAAGGTTAATTTTGATAAATATGTACAGGTCCAAATTTCAGGGCATATTTACTTTAACATTGCTCAATAACGCCAATTTTTGTTTAATTTTATAGAATATATAGTCTTTTATTTATGTTTTAAGACACAAATCAATATTCAATTACGTTTACGTATCGCATCGTGACTTTGCTGGTGATACACAGCCCTATAACGAACCGTCATGTTTGTGTACCGTTACACCCCTAGTAGAAACGTTAGCTTGTTAGTTATGTTTTCATCCAAATTTGCGAAATTGACTTTAAGAATACTGCATAAAACATTTGTGAAAGCACCATTTTCTTGCCATGAATTCAAGACAACAAAACCGTCACATCCTGTGAAAACGGCACAAAGTTTCAATAATAAAAATAAAAGTTGTGGCTCTTGTTTTCCTACATAATAAATTACTTGCACGTAATTACATGCAACTAAGTCTACATGCAATAATAAGCGCTGTAATGCTATCTTAAATTCAGACGCCTGATGTTTGGAAATGCAATTGTGCGTTTTTTTTATGCAATATCCTAAAATTAGCATTAAAACATTTGGATGAAAACATAACTGCATCAGAATAAAAAAAATGTTTAAGGGTACAGATATAGTTGCTAGCCTACATACAGTAACTTTTGTATAGTTTTTCCCTTGCATTTTTAAAAAGTTTCACGTATACACGACAATGATTTCAAAACGATTCGCGTTTACACATCCGCGAAAACAGCAAAAAAAGCTGTATTACGTATGCCAGGCCATTAGTTGGCGCTGTCACCTTGTTAGTAAACAGTACCTGTAGGGAAATGACGATTATATGATGTTTAAGATGCATCTCCGCTGTTGGTTGTAATAATGGTGAAGTAAATCCACACTTTGCTGAAGACTTTGCAAACTCTTGAGCAGCAACAACAGTACCATGTCCTCCTCCATTGTTGTGTATGTTTGTTCGCGCTTGCCTTTAAAATCGACACGTACTACACAAGCGCATTTCGTCACCGTTTTCAAAGATTCCCGTATTGGGTGTTTACACGGAAACGATAACGGTGCCGTTTTCAAAAACTTGCACTTTGAAACCCGTTTTCAAAAATATGCGTTTTCAGTCCCCAAAACGACGTTGTAGTGTAAACGAACAGTCAAAAACGCATAAAAAGTTTCCCTTTTTTGGATAAAAACGTTGACGTGTAAACGGCCCCCCCAAGTCTAGCGAAGAGCATTTTGTGATTAGACTATACTTCATTATATTTACTTTACCTGTTAGTGATGTCTTAATTACTCGGACTCGTCCTCAAACGGGGGCAGGTCTCTGCCGGGGCTGGAGGTCAGGTCACCCCGCCGTGAACCACGACTGGGGCTGGTGGCCATGTGCAACGACTCTGATGAATCCTGTTTTGAAGCAACAATAAAAAAGTTAGTGTTGTATAAAGCAAAAGTCTTTACATTAGACCTGAAAGAGATAGACTAAAGGTCAATGTGGACAATGCAGGTAACATACGTGTAACTACATCAGGCTGAGGTAACAACACTGAAAATAAATATCATTACTTTTGAAAAACAGACCTGTCAGTCAGCCAATATGTTAAATACTGAAGCACTACTATAATATAATTTAGGAAATGTCAGTTATAACTTGTAACAACTGCTGAACCACAACAAAGAAACTAGTTTTACCCACGTGGGACCTTTTAGGCTGACTTCAAAGATTCCCGTATTGGGTGTTTACACGGAAACGATAACGGTGCCGTTTTCAAAAACTTGCACTTTGAAACCCGTTTTCAAAAATATGCGTTTTCAGTCCCCAAAACGACGTTGTAGTGTAAACGAACAGTCAAAAACGCATAAAAAGTTTCCCTTTTTTGGATAAAAACGTTGACGTGTAAACGGCCCCCCCAAGTCTAGCGAAGAGCATTTTGTGATTAGACTATACTTCATTATATTTACTTTACCTGTTAGTGATGTCTTAATTATTTAATATATATGCTTAAATATTTTATGAAACAAGTTATAAGTTAATTTAAAAACAACTGACATGTTTGCATACCATTTTTTAATTTGAGTGTAGATTATTATAGTTAAAAATAAATAGTAATTGAATTTAAGTTTGGGCTCTGCTGTTAATTGTAACCTTATAGTAATGTAAAATGGCTCCCTATAGTTTAGAGCAGAAGCTAAGATTTTTAATTAGAATTTAAATTAGAATCGAATTTATTAAAAAGAAAGAGCAATTTGTCCAGTAAACCATTGTTTAACTTTAAAAAAAATAAAAAATAAAAATATTCGATATCAATATTGTGGCACGTGTGAATTGAAATGGAGTAGAAAAGTGCGAGGTTTCTAAAAAAAGAATGAATAGAGCATATATAGGCTACAACAAGGTTTAATCTGGCCGCAGAGGAACACAACTGGGTTGCCTGATATAAAGAGACGTAATCCCCGAAACAGAGCTTCACACTTGCGCAATACAGAAATATCTGCTAAGTGTGCTACTTATCTTTGTCAACCTGGCAACCATGTGCGCGCGCTCTCTCCACTGTGGATAAACGTGCTTGCTTTCTGAAAACAGCGGTTAGCTTGCAGTATAGCGATCTCCACTTCAATAATCTATTCTCAGAAAAGTGTGATTCATCAACTGTTCATTTACGACAGAGAGAGAGAGGCTGTGTATGTATGAATTACCACCGTTTTGCTGCGTTTCTCTATTAACAGTAGAGCTGTGGCTTTAATTGCTTTCGAAACAACGATGCTACCAGTTCCTTGTTGAGAAAGATAATGTAGCTCTTGAGCGATTAAGCTATTTAGTTGATAAAACTGCGGGGCAGTGCTAAAAAGTTTGTTCCTGAATGTCTGAGTTAAGCCGCAACGTGATCTGTGTGTGACTGCACTTAACATCAAACTGCTTCCGTTTCACACAAATGCTGGCACAGACGTGCATGTTCGGCTAGAGTCGCTTTGAACTCGTGCATCTTCGGAAGCGGAGCTGTGCGGAAACTTACAAAAAATGTCGTGCACACCGCCACGCGAAACGAAGCCGCGCGCACCTAAGCGAACTTCCGCCAACACCACGATGACGTCATATTTGCTGCGCACACCTAAGCGAACTTGCGAACACGTCGAGTTAGTTTAGAACGCTTCAAATTTTATTATTTGTTTTATTGTAGAGAGTGAGATAACCTACCAGGAAGGTAAATTATTTTTTTTATATATTAGAATGAGTACATTACAATATAAATGTATTAGAATGAGTACATTATTATTTATGGGCTTAAAAACAATATGCATGCAATCAGAATATTGTACCTGGTGGGGAGTGCAGAATGTAAACATGAAACATATGCCATTACCTATATTGTGCTGTGGTACAGTTATGGAGGCTCTTCATAATGCAGAGGTCAACAGTCTGCTCTGCCAAAAGTTAGAAATGGCACTATAGTATGCAGTGTTTAATAAACAGCTGTTTTTCTCAATTCTGCTGAGGTGAAATTCAGTGCAGTCATGTATCGTATCGTGGCCTCTGTATCGTGATACGTATCGCATCGTGACTTTGCTGGTGATACACAGCCCTATAACGAACTGTCATGTTTGTGTACCGTTACACCCCTAGTAGAAACGTTAGCTTGTTAGCTATGTTTTCATCCAAATTTGCGAAATTGACTTTAAGAATACTGCATAAAACATTTGTGAAAGCACCATTTTCTTGCCATGAATTCAAGACAACAAAACTGTCACATCCTGTGAAAACGGCACAAAGTTTCAATAATAAAAATAAAAGTCGTGGCTTGTTTTCCTACATAATAAATTACTTGCATGTAATTACATGCAACTAAGTCTACATGCAATAATAAGCGCTGTAATGCTATCTTAAATTCAGACGCCTGATGTTTGGAAATGCAATTGTGCGTTTTTTTTATGCAATATCCTAAAATTAGCATTAAAACATTTGGATGAAACCATAACTGCATCAGAATAAAAAAAATGTTTAAGGGTACAGATATAGTTGCTAGCCTACATACAGTAATTTTTGTATTTTGGGGGGATGAAATGTGACCTGGACATGCTTCTTGACAGGTTTCATGAGGTTCCTAACATAACAAACACCCTCTCTCACCTCTCCATCCCATCTCCGATCAGCTCCTCTCCGTCCTCCTCATCAGGAATAATGTCTCCCAGAATCCCCTCGGACTCGTCCTCAAACGGGGGCAGGTCTCTGCCGGGGCTGGAGGTCAGGTCACCCCGCCGTGAACCACGACTGGGGCTGGTGGCCATGTGCAACGACTCTGATGAATCCTGTTTTGAAGCAACAATAAAAAAGTTAGTGTTGTATAAAGCAAAAGTCTTTACATTAGACCTGAAAGAGATAGACTAAAGGTCAATGTGGACAATGCAGGTAACATAGGTGTAACTACATCAGGCTGAGGTAACAACACTGAAAATAAATATCAATACTTTTGAAAAACAGACCTGTCAGTCAGCCAATATGTTCAATACTGAAGCACTACTATAATATAATTTAGGAAATGTCAGTTATAACTTGTAACAACTGTTTTCTAGCGCAGATGCATTTACTCGCTGATAAGTCTCGGTCATGCAAGCACTTAGCGCTGTGAGATCCAGTGTGAAGAGTTTAAGTTCAGCGAAGAACACAAACAACTTTAAAGCCAGACGAAACAGCGCTGACAAACAGGAGAAACACTGTGTGCAACGATAGTCAGAGGGATTTTCAGTCTATAAATCGCCATCATTTACCAAGGCTTTACTGTTTTATCACGAACGGCACCATGGTATTGTGGCAGAAATGTGGGATATTCATACGGAATTGTATTATATTATTATGTAGACATGTATCAAATGTATAAAAGGAGTAATGGAATACAGTATTTTGGTGATTAAGCTATAGCCTTTGTGCATTGATACTAAATGTATTTAGACTACTGTTTTTCATTCAGATCCCTAGAAACCACACAGCTACATTTTTACCATGGTATTGAGGTGCTATATGTGTAGTTTTAACTGTGGTTATCATGATCTAAATGTATGCTACTATGGAAGACCAATGGGTAATTGGAATAAAACTCAAACCATAAAAAAAATGAGGTTGTTACAATTTTTACTTTCAAATAAAAAATGATTCTTGTTTACTTCCTTATCTGTTAGACTGTAGGCCGTCTGGAAGTCGAATGATTTCGCAGAGTTTGGAACAACAGCATTCCTCATATTGTCTCCATATACCACAATCCTGTGCATGAATATGTGTCACATTAAAGAGAGTGGCATCAAATCAAATTCGTTAGTTTGTGCGGTGTGATTATTTACCGATCGTAAGTATATCTATTGTTGTTGCTGACTGTGGTGTCCACACCATCCTCGATCAACCAATGGAAGTTTCCCCCCCAGATTCTGGTTTTTTTCTTGGCTGCCTTGGACAGATATGCGCCATCTGCGTTGAAGTCCCCCAAAATCATGATGTTCTGTATCGATAAGTATATTAAAAAATGTGCTGTATCAATTTTTTTAGAACAAATAATTCTGGCATTGGATGCTGATTGGTCAAAAACATGTTCTGGCTGTTCTTAATTCCACAATACAGTAGCCGCTCTGTTATGTCTTGACATGTCAAGACTAAATCTAACAGAATAAACATTTAATAAACATTCCATAAACTTAATGTACAAGTCGAATGATTTCGCAGAGTTTGGAACAACAGCATTCCTCATATCGTCTCCATATACCACAATCCTGTGCATGAATATGTGTCACATTAAAGAGAGTGGCATCAAATCAAATTCGTTAGTTTGTGCGGTGTGATTATTTACCGATCGTAAGTATATCTATTGTTGTTGCTGACTGGTGTCCACACCATCCTCGATCAACCAATGGAAGTGTTCCCCCCAGATTCTGGTTTTTTTCTTGGCTGCCTTGGACAGATATGCGCCATCTGCGTTGAAGTCCCCCAAAATCATGATGTTCTGTATCGATAAGTATATTAAAAAATGTGCTGTATCAGCAATTTTTTTTAGAACAAATAATTCTGGCATTGGATGCTGATTGGTCAAAAACATGTTCCGGCTGTTCTTAATTCCACAATACAGTAGCCGCTCTGTTATGTCTTGACATGTCAAGACTAAATCTAACAGAATGATGACATTTAATAAACATTCCATAAACTTAATATACAGTATGTATTATTTTGTAACCATTTTGTTAAAGGAATAATGGTAGTATCTTATTTCTTCATACATAGTATATTGAGGGTTTGGAGCCAAATATGAAATCAATAAGTGAACATTTATCATGAATGTAGCTGCTTGTGTTGTCTGGTCTTGCTTTGTGTTTTACTTTAGTCTTCCATTTCTTCTTGACATCTTTAAACACATCATACAGTTCGTCAATTTCCCTCTCTGCATCATCTGGCTTTGTGTGGACTGGTATCATCACCAAATCTTTCAACACTGTTGAGACATGAGTACAATTAATTAAAATTAATAAACTTCTGTCCACATACACACACCCTCTGTTGGAGCTTAGCCACTGACATTTCTGTTTCAATTGTTTTGACTGTCAATTGCATAAATTGTGAATGATGTTATTACAATTTGATTTTTATCATTTTCTTGAAGCTTGACTTTATAGTCAGCTGAAAGGTCTGGGGCCATTGAAAATGTTGAAAAATATGCTGCATCGTACAATACTGTGCCAAAATCATGACTCTTTTAACCTAGAATTTGTTACACTAAAATAATAATAGACAATTACAGCACATCTATGCCATAATTTACCTGTGTTATGACAGTTGAATCGCAAAACATACGGTTCTCTGGCGAAAGCATCTTCATCTCCAGGCTGATTGTCTTCATATTGGTAAGACCCGACCAAATCCACCACTTTGTCCCTTTATATTGAAAGTACAGTTATAAGCATAAGCATATATATATATGAAGACTTCAGATGCAAAAACCTCTAAGTCCGTCTGAGATTTTTGTTTTAAATAAGCTTTTTTTTTTATCAGACTCTTATGAAAATATCATTGGACATTTTTTAAAGTGAGGCAAAACCAACTAATAACCTTTTCTTTGCCAGTGAAGTGAAATTACTGAACCTTAACATTGGAGCCTGATAAAAATGCTAATTTTAAAGAAAAAATCTCAGACAGACTTAGAGGACTCGCATCTGAAGTATTCATCTTATTATACCGTACTCCTTCATTTTTTCATGTTTTGTTATGTTGCTGCATTATGCTAAACTACTTTGCTTTAAATTACTTTTTCACATCAATCTACACTCCATACACTATAAGGACAAAGCAACAACAACAAAAAACATGTTACAACTTAGAAAATGTATTATAAACACTCAGTCTACATTCAATTTGCACATAATATACCTGTACATACAACTGTCTATTGTTATATACCTGTACATACAATTGTCGATTTGTATATTTTTATTCCTTATTTACTTGTTCTATTTTTCTATTTTTTATTATCTGTGTTTTTGTTCTGTCACTGTCATTCTGTTACACTGTGGAGCTTCTGTCATGAAAACAAATTCCTCGTATGTGTAAACATACCTGGCAATAAAACTCATTCTGATTCTGATTCTGATTCTAAAGGAAAAACTGAAATATGTACGTTGCATAAATATTCAATATTCATACCCTTTTCTGGTACACTTGAAATGTAGCTCTTATGTGTATGTATACACATATATATATATATACAGTATATATATATTAGGGCTGTCAGTCAATTAAAATTTTTAATCTAATTAATTAAATGATGTTTCGATTAATTAATCGCAATTAATCACAAAATAAAATTGACTGTGAAAATACCCACAAAAGATTATTTAAAGCTATTTTTGTGTTAAATGAGAAAGTATCAAGTAGACATTACAAATTGTAGCTTTAGAAATATTTTATTTGATTAAACATCAAATTTATTACACATAAACATTTAGGCTACAACGGATTCAACTTCCTTTTCATGGGAACTTCGAACTGCGTCCTCTAGGGGTCGCTATGGGGAACGCCTCGTCGAAAAACCCCCAACTCGTTGGCCGGCGACAGCCATGACGTCACTACCGGTGCGACTACAGTATAAATAGGCGCCGGGAGCTACACATCATTCTCTTCTTCGTCTTCATTGACTGTTTTGTTTGAAGCGTGCATTTCTGTGGTAAGAGCGATCTCTATTTATCTCATTATGGCGAGCACTAGCAAAGCATTTAAGGATGTGTGCATCCGTGTTGACGTTGTTTAACATCTGATGACACACACAATCTATGCGTTGTTTTGTTTGGGCAAAGAGCATGCACGCGATGTCTCCGAGGGGACAATCGGCGTGCACTGCGAGTGTTTTTTCCAAAAAAAAAAAAAGAAGCTCCGCTCTCGTTGGGGTCATTGCTCCTGCGTATGATGAGCTCTTGGGAATTATGGATCGCGCCACGGCGAGGCTTTACTTGCCGTGAAGCGGGTGAAAAAGTGACGTCACGAAATATCTTGATGAACGTTATTTTTCTGGCCATAAAGCCTCCAGCTCAGGTGAGCCTTCCTTTCTTCCTGTTTTTTCATATAAAGATTGCAAAGGAATGGAAGAGGCCGTTTTCTTCACGCATCCATCGATTCCAGGAGTTCTCCTCTCACTTGAGAAGTTTGAGTTCTCTGTTTCTCCAGAGCGCCTGGATCCAGCAGCATCAGGTGAATTAGGCCTTTCCTCTGCCTCCCTGATGCGCTGAGTGTTTGGCTAGCTTGCAGTATGCTTACCCCTCTGATTTTACAATCATGCTGCAGGTCGAGCCCCCTCTCGTTGAGAGCTGGGTTTGTGCTCCCTCAGCCAAGGTAAACTACTGCTAGCGTTCCAGCATTGGAACATGCTGTAGGTCGAGCCCCCTTCTCGACTGAGAATTAGGTGTGTTGCTCCCACAGCTAAGTAAACTATTGCTAGCTGTTCCAGTTTTGGAACATGCTGCAGGTCGAGTCCCGTCTCGGATTGAGAACTGAGTGTGTTGCTTCCTCCGACGCAGTGTCTCGTTCCCTACTCAGGGAACCATGGTTACATAAGTAACCTGAGACAAATTCTGCTATGGCTTTAAAGGTAATTATGTTCAAGCGACAGCTGAAAACTCATCTCTTTCGACTCTATTTGACTTCATCCTAAAAAAAAAAGCCTAAAACTTAGTATTACGAGCACTTCCTGTGTCTGTTTGCCTCTTTAAGAAGAATCGTTTTATGTAGGCCTTTCCCCAATTGTAAGTAGCTTTGGATAAATGCGTCTGCAAAATATATATATATACATATACAAAACAAGTAGATAGAATAGAAAAAATAGAAAGCTAGTGTTTGTTTTTTTTAAAGAAAAAAGAAAAAAAAGAAGATAAACATAGCTGAAGTAGAATTAAAATAGATTAGAAAGTGCTAGAGTTAGAGGGTCAAGTAAAGGTGGAACAGATGTGTTTTTAGTCGTTTCTTGACGATGGTTAGGGACTCAGCTGCTGGGATTGATTTGGGCAGGTCATTCCACCAGGAGGGAACAGTTAATGTAAAAGTCTGTGAAAGTGATTTTGTGCCTCTTTGAGATGGCACAATAATACACAGTTCACTTGCAGAAAGCAAGCTTCTAGAGGCACACAACTCTGAAGTAATGAATTTAGGTAAATAGGTGCAGAGCCAGTGGTGGTTTTGTAGGCAAACATTAATGCCTTGAATTTAATGCGAGCAGCTATTGGTAGCCAGTGCAAATTGATGAACAGAGGTGTGATATGCATTCTTTTCGGTTCATTAAATATTAATCTTGCAGCAGCATTTTGGATTAATATATCAATATATATATCTAGGTTATATATAGCCTATGTCTTTGTATGCAAGGTGAGATATATTGCCTTGATGCTAGTTTACTCACAAGCTCAACATGAACAAGCAGGTCAAGATTCTGAATTCCAGTGTCATGAAGTAAATACACAGTCATGTGTTCAGATTTCTAAATGTGTTCATCTCTCTGACATCAGATAATTGCAGACATTTTGGAACTTTAAAATTACCTGTAAAGGAACATAAACTGTTCTTTTTGTTGTCCTCTTCCCAGGCGTGTGCTGATCTTCATCTTGTAATTAATTGTTTTGTAGAACCTGTCAAAGAGCAGTCAGCCATGGTTACTATTTTGCTTTGTAATATTGTTTTTCATTGAAAAACACATCTGGCTGACTCACTGATTCAGCTCGCTGAGAAACGTTTCCACTGAATCTCCGCTAGAATCCACCACCTCGAGAATAACGATGATATCGTAGCGTGACACTATCTGAAGAAATGGAGCGACGGTAAAACACATTATTACTCTGTCTGCATACACACCACACTACTCCTTCCATGAAGGATTATCAGACATTAAGATGAATATCATGATACAGAATCAGAGAATCATTTAAGAGGAAGTTCACTGGCAAGTGTTTGTCAAGCTTGATGTTTTGCAGCCCATCATGACTCTGGACTGTCTGTTAAATTGAAAATACATGGGGCAACGTTTGTGGGCAATCTTGCTTGGGCACTTTCCCATTGAGAATGGCGAACATATTTTTATCTGGATACTTTAGATTGGTCTTGGGCCCTGTATCTCACCTGGTTGCCCGCTGACGGCAACATTGCCCAGCAACATTGTTCAACATGTTGCCCCGTGTATCATCACCTTAAGTGTGGTCTGGCCTCACCTTGATCAGAGTTTCCCGCACAAACGTATTAGAGAGTTTTGCTCTCCCAAATTTCTGGACGTTAAAAGACGCAACCTTCATGATGCCTGCATTAAATTAAGAGGAAAGCGAATTAGACAGATAATGCAACAAGCCAATAAATTAATGTTTCTGAGATGTTTGTTTGAATGTTTTTAATAAAACTTATGCTCAATAATGGCAACACAAATACGAGTACAACCCATATAGAATAAGGAATATAATAATTAGATAGATAGTACATGCATCTTCAGAACAAGGGTATTCAAAATGGTCTACTGTAAAATTTCTTCAACTCATATCTATACCTGCATTTCTGGCCATGCGTACTGCCGTCGTGACCTTTACACATGCATGCATGAATGTCTTTATCATGCAGCTGTCAACAAGTAAAGTGAAACATCCATACTCTATTTTCTTTGAAAACTGTATCATTCCTTTTAAAGCAAAGGCAAGCGGAAGAACCTGTTTCAGGAGTCGACAGAGCGGTTTATGAAGAATTTGGGCATAAAAGAGATCACTAGATGACTCTTTAAACGGTCAAATGAAACCTTAAAATACGTTTCATTTTGTCTAATAGGCAAAGATCTGAAATGGCAAAGGTACTATATAAAAGGGTAAATCTGATCAGTTAGAGAAGAAAAATCTATTCTATAAAGAAGAACAAGTCTATTCACAAATGTGACTAGATGAAATTGCCACAATTTTCTGCAGAAAAAGGAAATCGCATATTGATGACAATCTTTTGTGAACATGACACCATCAGCCCGTGAAACTGTGACAATGGCTGTAGTTTTAATCCAAAGTTATGTATTTCAAGTGGTTTTACTTTCCATTTCATTCAACATCTCACAAGAAAAGACAAGTTTAGGGGCTTTGTTTCCATGATTCCCATCTGTGGGTGTGACTGAGATGTTTTTTTAATAAATGGAAGTCTTAAAGTGGCATATTTTAATTTTTTTAATGTTTTAGTAAATATAAATATTGGTTATGTAAATATTGCTGTACATTTATTGATATATTAGTGAATTTAAAATGAAACCATTTATCTTTCATCCCTCTTTTCATAGTCAGAAACTAAACAAATGGCTTTGCTTTTACTACCTTTTAAATTCCTAGACACACTCATGGACATAAAAAAAAAATATATATATATATATATATTATATATATATATATTAGAATATTTGTAAAACAACATGGCAAGAATATAAAAACATGAGAACCTTACTTGATTCTCAGATGCTTAAAAAAAACAGTAAAAATTTTATAAGATTTTAAGAATCCACAAACAAAACTTAACTTACCCAAGCACTGGTCCAAAAATGCACTGAAGAAAAGGACTGTAGAGATTCCTAAAATCAGCTGCATTACTTATATTGGACACCTGTGATCTGATTGGCTAGACGCAGGAACCTGTCGAGAGATTTGGCCCTGCCCTAATTTTGACAGACCTCGAAATAACAAAAGAGTTCCTCTCTCTGGGCAAACATTGACTCGGAAGTGGAAAGTGTGCAGGTGAGTTAATACAATACAATCATCCTCATACAGCCGCAACACGTTTAAAGTTGCACTGGAAAGGTGGAAAGATAATTGGACAGTTTGGACAGAATGAGATAATTTACTTGTTCTCGACAAACACACACACACAAAGAAAAGAAAAAAAAGAAAACTGTAAAGTAAAATAAGTGAAGGAGCCTGTTTCCATCAGTCAGGTGTAACAGGAAGCTGCTGCATAAAGGATGCAGTGCTTATTTTTGGAAATATATAGAAACTGAATAACAAATTCTGCAGTTGAAGTTAGAGTTGGGAATAAAACCGTGAGGTTGACATATTGGAATTATAAACAACTCTATTGAACTCTACGAATCAAATGAATCAAATCAGCTTATGAACCAGTTAATTTACACTAACCGTCCGAACAAACCGATTCACCAAAATGAATCAGGCACTTGACGGGAACACTACATCTGGGTAACCCCTGGGGTCCTGACTGTGCAGAAAAAAAAGCATTAGGTGTCCAATTCTGTTCCTGGAGGGCCCCTGTTCTGCAGAGTATTGCTCCAACACATTTGCCTGGAAGTGTCTAGTGAGTCTGGACTCTGAAGATCTTGATTACTTTGCTTCAGGAGTGTTTGATTAGGGTTGGAGCTAAACTCTGCAGGACAGGGGCCCTCCAGGAAAAGCATGTGTTCGCTCAGTATTGGGTTCCTCTTTTTATTGTTATAATAAAAATCTATTTTAAATCCACTTATTAATGTTAATAAATATGTCTATTAAACGTTTATTTTGTATTATTTATGTTATAATGGTATCAAAATATGCACAAACCCGATCCAAAAAAGTTGGGACACTGTACAAATTGTGAGTAAAAAAGGAATGGAATAATTTACAAATCTCATAAACTTATATTTTATTCACAATTTGTACAGTGTCCCAACTTTTTTGGAATCGGGTTTGTATGCAGGAGGTAAAAAAATACCCCTCAAGGCTCCCAAGAAGCAGACGAAGGAGATGGACAATGAAAGTTCAGGTTTCTGTTGAAGTATTTATTCATAAACACTGAGATTATGATTTGTGAACAGATAAGATACTTAGAGTTAAGTAATGACTATAGAGAACATGATTTTGAAATACTGCTTTATACATTTCCATTACCTGTTTGAACACCTGAGTGTGTTCCAGACATTCAGTATAGATTTTGAGTTTTTCTTTTGTCAACAAACTGTTTAATTTTCTTTCCATAGAAGGAGGTGGAATGAAGAAGTCTTGTGAAGAAATTAATGTGTTTTAGGCCCTGTCCACACGAAACGCGGTTATTTTTAAAACCCCAGCTTTTTCTACGCGGTTAGGCCGTTTGTCCACACGCAAACGCAGCACCAGGTCACTGAAACAGAACATTTGTGAAAACACCTGCCAGGGTGAAGATTTTCAAAAACTCCGGTTACAGTGTTATCGTGTAGACAGCGAAACCGGTGTTTTTGGCTTGTGACGTCGGAGCCTGCGCTGTTATCTCCGCCTACCGGAAACTTTTTCAGGCTTCTGATTGGCCAACATGGCTTTACGGTTGAGATTATATCGCCACCTGTTGGTTTGGCATGCTCTTGACAGTGCTTCATAGCATGCTTTTGCATTTTCATGTGGACGGAGATTTTTTTTTTAAACGGACGAAGGAAAAAATACCCGTGTACGTGTGGACATGGCCTTAGTGTATATTTGCTTGCCGTTCAAACCAACTTATGATTTGCATCCAAAAATTAGTTTTTAGTTACTTTATATTGCTCTTGTTAAGAAAACGTTAAGGAATAAAGTTTGTAATGACTGTAAATTCCGATTTCAGATGTTTAATGTCTTTGATTGTGAAACATTCATATGACATTCAAAACAACTGTACAATATCCAAACATTTCAAGTAAATCCAGTCTCATGTAAACATGTCCAGAAGTGTTCATAAAAGCTTATCCGTCTTTATATTCAGATCTCCAGAGTCAGTGTTTTCATGTCCATAAGATGTTCAGTCTCACAATAGCATTTCCAGTTAACCTAAACAGAAAATAAATCTTATGTTATTGTTTCTTTTCATCATGTGTTTTTAGTCACTGTGCTGCTGTTCATGTGTCTTACGTTTACGTTTAAGCTGCTTATGTTTTCTCTTCAGTTCCACCTCTACTGGATAGTGGTCACTCACTTTCAGTACCTGTAAAGACATTAAATCTGTGTTTTGAAAAATACTAAACTCATTCTGTAAGATAAATGTACAGTAATAACTGGTGTCTTTATGGTAAGTGTGATTAAATATCAGTTCAAATGTAAAATGATTCTTGTTTACATCCTCATCTGCCAGTTTGTAGGCCTTCTGGAAGTTGAATGGTTTTGCAGAGTTGGGAACAACAGCTTTCAGCATATCGTCTCCATATACCACAATCCTGTGCATGAACATATTAATGAGATGTGACTTAAAATCATATTTGTTCATATTTTTGTCATAGTGTAATTAATTACCGGTCATAAGTGTTGTCATTTCTGGTGCTGGCTGTGGTGTCCTCATCATCTGTGATCAGCCAATGGAAGTCCTTGTCACTCCTGATGCGGATTGTTTTCATTTCTTTACCAGACACGTAACTGCCGTCTGCATTGAAGTCCCCCAAAATCATGATGTTCTGTATGGATATGCTTTGTTTTCTAAACCATTCTTATATTACAACATTTATGCTGTTTATAAATGCAATGATGCATGGTATCTCATTATTCCATGTTCACACAAAAATAAAATGTTCTCAAAATATACTCATCCTCATGTAGATGAGTTTGTTTCTTCATAGGAACAGATTTGGAGAAATGTAGCATTACATCACTTGCTCACCAATGGATGCTCTGCATTGAGAGTCCAAACAGCTGATAAAAACATCACAATAATGCACAAGGTGTTTTTATTTCAACTACTTAAAAATATGAGTCCTTTATCCATTGCATTGCCTTGTGCAGTGAAAAAGTCATCTCGTCTGAATCAGGAGCGAAATATGCACCGTCTACAAGCAAAAACAGTTCTAAACAAACATGTCCATGAATTGTTCTCCAAATCTGATGAAGAAACAAACTCATCTACATCTTGCATGGCCTGAGGGTCAGTGCGTTTTTAGCACATTTTCATTTTTGAGTAAACTATTTCTTTAAGTGCAAATTTATTTCAATTAATAAATCCCATCTCAACCAATGGATGCTTGTCATAAAGGTATTGTAGTTGTGCATAATGGTTTACATCAGTCTTCCATTTCATCTTGACATTCTGAAACACGTCGTACAGTTCGTCAAGCTCCTTCACTGAATCCTCAGGCTTGGTGTGGACGGGCATCAGCACCAAATCTTCCAACACTGTTGAGACATGAACAAAATGAATAATTACAATAATTGATCTCCACACACAGCCTTTGTCACAGCCCAACCCAGAGATTCAATTATACATTAGCCAGTGACATTTATGTGTAATTTGTTTTTAACTGTCAATTGCATGAACTGGGAATTAAGTTATTACAAGGAAACACTACAAAGAAAAACACATTTCCTTATAGCTTTTATTAGCTCATAGTCACGGCCAGTAAAATTACATTGTGCATTAATGTGCCAAAATCACGAGACTGGTGCACCCATGATGTTAAACTGAAGTAATATGGTGTACTTTACCTGTTTTATGACATTTGAATCGCAGAACATACGGTTCTCTGGCGAAAGCATCTTCATCTCCAGGCTGATTGTCTTTGTATTGGTAAGACCCGACCAAATCCACCAGGTCGTCCCTTCATATTTAAAACAGACCATGTAGTTTAGTACAATAAATAAATAAAACTGATAGTCTTTAAATATTTCAATTTCAATTTCCACCCTAAGGTCCACTTATAATGTTAGCACAAGTTTGTGTGCTAATACAGTCATAATAAAGCAATAACCCCCATGAAGCCGTGGTTTACAGTGAATTTATAACAGCTAAGGGGCGTTGTTAGGCACGACGTGAAGCAGAGTGCCTCAAACCCCCTTAGCTGTTATACATTCACTGTAAACCACGGCTTCACGGGGCTTATTGCTTTTATAAAACGGTTATTCCATATAAGGTTTCACAGAATAAAACAGAGCAAATAAAGTGTAATGATATAAATAAAAACAGTATTCTTCCACCAAACAATGTAGTTCCTCAGAATCAGTTGTGGTTGCAACAAAGTGATTGCCGAGCAACACACAGAAGTAAACAAAGGTGTGTGTTTGTAGAGTAATTTACAACAGCTTCGAACGCGGCTCAGCCAATCAGAATCAAGCACCGGAACTCTCCGTTTTATATATTTGTTTTTATGACTTTTTATCACCCTCTGTCTGATCTTTAGAACTAAACAGACTGTTTTATTTTTTTATAGTCGCTGTGTCTAGACTATGAAAACGACAGAGAGAATTTCAAAGTGAATGGGCAGGGCAAGTCTTTAAATTCAGAATGAACGCCACCGACACGTAAAAATAGATTGTCATGTGTTGAAATGTGTTTATCTATCGAAAATCAGAAATTTAACTCAACGGTTGGGTTAGTCCATATTTGACCCAAAGTTGGGTTGAAACAACCCAGCATTTTTTAGAGTGAACATTCTCCATAGGTTCTCTTTAAGTTGTCACCAAAACAACTTCCTGCAATGGTCTACACTGTAAAAAATTACCGTGAATTTAACGGTAAAAGACTGTAAAAATGCTACAGTAAAAACCTGTTAAATGGTTAATGGTAAATTCCCCTACTATATACGGTGAAAATGAAAAACTGCATTGGACATCACATGTATTTACGGTAGTATGCCGTTTTTGGAAGTGAATAAGACTGTATAATTTACAGTGAATAACCGTAGATTGACATTCCCAGCATTTCCTGCATTACATTTCAAATTTGATGTTTTTTTGTTGAAATAACTATGTTTCTTCTTAGTTTTTTCTTATCAGTTTTGTATATCAGGGTTGTGTGTTACACCTAATGTTGTTAAATTAATGTTTATTGCATTATTTCAGTTTCATGTGTGTTACCATGATGATGTTTAGTGTTTGTGTGAATGACACTGTGCACCTTCTATATATGTTAGTATTTAAAAGCTGCTTGTGATGGGCTTTGGTTCATCATGTGACTTTCTCATCATCACCTGCATTTGGTGGTTATCAGTGTATTACAAGGTACAAAACAGATTTCAGTACTTCAATAGGTTGGTATATTAACATTATATCAGTTAATAAAATTACGGTATTTAACTGTAAATGTAAGTTAAAACCGTAAAACCTAAAACATTGCTACCGTATTTTTTACGGTAAAATTCCAGCATCCACAGCTGCCATTTTTTTACCGTAAATTTTACTGAATTTTTTTTTACAGTGTAGGGAGGTTCGTTTCTGGTTACAAAAATAATCTACACGGAACATTCTTATTTGGTTTCCTAAAAATAACCAAACAGGAACCAGATGGGAATGTTCTATATTGGCTGCACCCTCGTATAATTCAATACGGCCTCCATTCCAATTAAAAGTCTAATGCATCTTCAAAATCACGCAGTTACCTGTAGAGGAACATAAACTGTTCTTTGTAATTTCCCCTTCCCAGGCGTGTGCTGATCTCCAAGGTGTAATGGTGCGTCTTGTTGAACCTGTTGATGAGCAGTCAGCCATGGTTACTACTGTCATGTAATAACAGGGTTTTTCAAGAAAATTAAAACACACCTGTTTGACTCACTTATTCAGCTCTTTGAGAAAATTATCCACTGCATCTCCGCTAGAATCCACCACTTCGAGAATAACAATGATGTCATAGCGTGACACAATCTGAAGAAGGGAGCGACGTAGAAACAAACCATTAGCCTCATCGTCATCGTACCGTGCATGCTGCTCCTCCCGTGAGGGATTATCAGACATTAAGATAAATCTCATGTAATAGACTCATTCAAGATGTCAAATGCGATGTTTCGCGTGTATTTCTCATGACTCTGGACTTTCTGTAGGTGTGGACAGGCCTTACCTTGATCAGTGTTTTCAGCACAAACGGATCAGAGAGTTTTGATTTCCCAAATTTCTGGATGTTGAAAGAGGCGACCTTCATGATGCCTGTTCATCGTGAAATGAAAGAAACCAAATTAGAAGTTTATAAAGACACTTTCTGTAGAATAGAAATGCAAACCTACATAGAATGACAAATAGTAGAACTCATTTCAAGCCATGCCTATTGCATTCATGACATTTATACATTCATGAATGACTTTGTCATGCAGTTGTCAACAAATAAAGTGAAACACACTCTTTCTTCTTGTCTTAGAAAGCTGTTGCTATCACCGGAATCTTTTTTAAGCAATTACAAGTGGAAGAACCTGTTTCAGGAGTCGCCAGTGGTGTTTACTACAGGGTTGAGACAAGATAATCCCTTCTTGAAATGGTCAAACAACACCTTAAAATGTGTTTCTTGTTGTCGAGAAGGAAATGGACTACTAAATAGAGGCAGAAGAACATGTCTATTCATTCAAGATTCAAGAAAGGTCTGTGTGAGGCCATTTTAGTGACTTGGTGTCAGGCCAATAATTGATGCAGGAGGTCTTTATGCCCAGAGGGTTTCTCTGAATGCGGCAGAAATTAGTTCCAGTGCTCAGACGTTGCTAAGTGCACATCAAAGCAGCAAAATCGCCTATACATTCAAGCCACATATGGACGACAATCTGTTGTGAACATGACACCACCACCTGAAACCTTATTTGTGACAATGGCTGTAGTTTAAATCCAAAGTCATGGACTTATACAAAGTGTTTAAACATTCCACCTCATTCAACACCAAACATGCAGAGACAAGTTTAGGGGCTTCATTTACATGATTTCCAGTTTGTGTGTTTTTTTTAAATCAAGAAAAAAAGTGAATATTTTTGGAATTTTTGTGTAAAAACACAAGAACCTTCTCAGATGCTGTCTGGACACTTATAAATCTATTTTTAAAAATCAAAAAAATTAAGATAAAGATTTAAAGAGTCAAAGAACAAAACTTAACTTACCACAAATATTTATTTTGAATTTAAATTTTGAATTTAAATATGCTTTGACTGCTGAGATGATTACATTCATGCTGAGATTACATTGTCTGGATACTTGAAACAATTTATTACATTCTTAGAAAAATGGTACAAATTAAGATTGAAGGACTATAAGACTTACCTGAGCACTGGTCCAAAGATGCACTGAAAAAAAATTTGACTGTAGAGATTCCTAAAATCAGCTGCATTACTTATATTGGACACCTGTAACCTGATTGGCTAGATGCAGGAACCTGTCGAGAGATTTGGCCCTGCCCCAACTTGGACATCCCTCGAAACAACAAACGAGTTCCTCCCTCTGGGCAAACATTGACTCGGAAGTGGAATGCTGAAGCGAACAGGTGAGTTCAGACAATACAATCATCCTCATTACAGCCACAAAGCATTTCAAGTTGCACTGAAAGGTGGAGAAATAATTGTCAGGTTGGTCAGAAGGAGATATTTCAGTTTTTGAGCACCATGTAAACCTGTAAAGTAAGAAAAAAATCGAAAGAGCTTGTTTGCATCAGTTAGGTGTAACAGGAAGCTGCTGCCTTAAGGATGCAGTGTGCTTATTTTTTTGGAAATACATAGAAACTGAATTGCAAATTCTGCAGTTGAAGGTAGAAGATAAAGGAGACTCTGTCCTGGACATTAGTCAAAGTGGATATTGGTTAAATTATAACATAAGGTTAAATATTTCTCTACATAGATGCTATATTAGGTCCTTTGTGTTCACAACTGTCGTTGAGATGGAATTCATGTTCAGACAATCTAGGTGTGTTGTTGTTTTTTCCGCTTGACATGCAGTCTGTGCCTCCATAGCGAAGTGAAATATGACTACAGTAAAGACCGGTGAGCCAAAAACAACATTACAGCTGCAACAGGTTCAGAGGATTCGAGGAATTTAAAGAACAACAACAAAATCATGTCAGAAAAATGGCGGGAAATGTTTATTCAGGTTTCAATGGATACTAGTTATATAAATGCATAGCAAAATTATGTATGGCACTTGAAATTATTTAAATACATTAGATTGCTGCCAAAATGTGCATTCTGGGAAATCAAGGTCCAATTCAGGTTTAGATATTTACTTCCTTGCAGATCTTCTCTCTGTACATTTATTAAATCCAGTAGATTGCCATCAGAATATTGCATTCTAGGAATAAAGTCTGGAAATGGTGGAAACCGTTTATTCAGGTTTTGATAGTGTAAGGGAGTTTACAGTTAAGACCCAGGAACCATGATGAAGACCAGGAGTCGGAGATGCAATTAATTGAAGGAAAATTTACTGAAGAAAATAGTTTGCAGTTTCATCAGCAGAAGCCAGCTTCAACACTTGCGAGGAGTCCGTAGGCCGCTCTGCGTACAATCTTGAAAGAAAAAATGATGAGGATGAATATGTTTATTGCAGCATAGCAGTGACAATCTACATGTAGTACCTTGGGTTCAGAATGAACCAGTTTACTACTCTTCATGTAAATGACGTTGCTCCTGATGTAACAGCTGTAGTCTGTATGTTAATTAAGTTCTGACACCCCTTTGTCTGAGATAGGTCTCAGTGTCCCATTCCCATTCTACAATTGATCACCATTTGCTCAGGATGTGATCATCCCAAATGGTTCAGAAACAACCTAACTGTTAACTTTCTTTTTCTCTATAATATTTAAGCCATTTTGGGAAATGAGCATGAACAAACATCTATTGTGGAGTGGAATCTGGGTCGGGTCAGTTTCTTACAATTTCAATACATCATGCAATTGAACTCCAACAGAGGTCACCAATGTCATTACTTGGGTAAAAAGGATACTGATTGGTTCAACTGTAGAAAAATTAGATTAGAGTTCACAAGCAATATCTCACTCCCAAGATGTATATCTGCCACCCAATGCATCAGGGTGTTGGAAGACGTCCAGCATTCCACCCTAAGTGCCGCTATGAATGTCCCCAGAGACTGGAACTGCACAGACAGATACCAACACACACACACACATAGAGAATACGCAGCTTCTTCAAGGCTGGGTTGTTCAAACCCAAGCTCTAATCAGGAACTTTCCCAAACATCCAGATACGCATGAAGTACTTTTTGTCAGCTAGAATTTTAGACAATATTGTTCACTATTTCATAATGTTTAAAGACGATAAATATAATTAATATAAATAAATTATTTAATTATAAATTGGTCATGCAAATTAGACGCCTAATGACCTTTGTGACCTAAACTGTCATAGAAAGTCCGAAGAGTAAATGTATGTTTTAATGTGTTGGGTGCTTTTCTCAAACCAAGGAGAGAGCACATTCAAGTGAGAAGACATGTATTTCTATACTATTCAATTTTCAGATGGTGGAGTCCTTCAAATCATTTATTTTTTGAAGAATAATATTAATTAACAACAAACCACTCGAAAGGATATTTAATGAAGCGGCAGTGGATTCCAGAATCCACCACTTCAATAGATAGACAGACAGACAGACAGAAAGACAGACCGATCGATAGATAGATAGATAGATAGACAGACAGACAGATAGACAGACAGACAGACCGATCGATAGATCGATTGATCGATCGATCGATAGATAGACAGACAGATAGACAGACAGATAGATAGATAGACAGATAGATAGATAGATAGATAGATAGACAGATAGATAGACAGATAGCAAAATTACATGAAATTATTTCATTTTTTAAATATAGTAAATTGCCATCAAATTATTGCATTCTGGGAAACCAACACTGTAAAATCCAATAGTTTACCTTAGATTTAATTAGTTATGTTTACTTAATTGTTATACTTACTAGGTTTTATTAAGTTACAGCTACTTTCAAGGCAAATAAAACAATTTACTTACTGTTTTGAGTGAAACTTACTTAAAATATTCAAGTAGCCACAAAGGAACCAATGATATTAATAAAGCAGTGAGAGGCAGCAGTGCATTAATATGTTGCTAATGTGCAACATAACAACAGCAGAAGAAGAAAAGAAAACCAGTCTTAATAGACTTTTCACCCATTTCCTCCATGTCTGCAGTTATCTTTCACTAGTTGCATTCACTCGTTTCCCAAAGTCATCGTGAATGTTTAATTTTTAATACAACTGAAATATTTGAGAGAACATCACATAAGCTAACTTCATAAATTGATGTTGATTTTCCTCAAATGTTTTTTTTAAACTCACCATTATAGTGATTAGTGTTCCCTTTGGTTGGGCACTTGGAACTTGGTTTATGGTACTATAATTATCTTCCTGTTAGTGCAGTAATGCATGGTGAAGTTAGAGTTAATTGATTTCAAAGGAAGAAAAGTAATAAATAGGGTGCTTATAGAAGGTGACCTATCTTCCAAATTAAAGCATTACTGTATTTTTTGTGTTTATTAATTAACTTTTTCAAATTTCAGTTTTCATGAATACCTTGCATGCTTTTAATTTGGTTTATATAATCCTTAAATAGTGTGTGGTATAATGCTAAAGTCACACACAGACTTAAACATTCAGCACGTGAATCACAACAATGGTAACAATTCAATTTCATTTATTTTCATTAATTGTAACAATAACCATTTTATTTCCTCTTTTTGTTGTGCTACTACTGACACAAGACAGCAAATAAAATTGTCAAATAAAATCAACAACTGTAAAACAAAGCAACTGCATAATTTATTCATGCCGCAATGCACTCTGGGAGTCAGTGAGTAGCTATACTAAGTCATGAGTAAACCTAAATGAAAGGATCAAGTACCCCCTACAGCTCTTTTTTAGTTACTAGAACTCTCGTGTAAGTAAACTATACTAACTAAGCATTTGTCAGTACAACATACTATTACTATTTCACTTTACTTAGTTTTTTCAAGGCAATCGGTTTGCATGCTTTTTTTAAGTAAGCCCAACTAATTAGATTTTACAGTGAAGGTCAAATTCATTAGGAATGAACTTGTTTTAAGCGAATACTTCATTTGCAAAGCATATAGGGAAATTGGGTGGTTCTGAAGTAAAAGCTAGTGGCATTTTGACATATTTAAAAAAATAAAGTGCATCAAGTGCTCCAGCAGGTTTGAGTCTGAACTGCACTATTATCCTGGTATCCTGATGGGTGAGGTTTCACAAATGCAAATTCAATCAAAAAGGCTCTTCTGTCTTATACCTCCAGTCAAGCCTGCTATAAATTACTATAGAAATGACACTAGCGAAGAGAAGGTCTGTTATTAATCAGTGAGGCCTCTACTTCTACATTTTTCGAGACATCTGTGCGACAGAAACCCTATCTGATTTAAAACAGGAAGTAGGCACGTCCTGTTTTCAAATGAGCAGACATACATTATTTACTAGCTGCCTAACGGACAACACAGGAAAACGAGACATCAGAGTACACAAAAGCTTCGGTAAGAGCTGATTATTTATGTGTTTACTTCTAGAAAAAACAAATGTAAATACAGGTGCATCTCATTAAATTAGAATGTCGTGGAAAAGTTCATTTATTTCAGTAATTCAACTCAAATTGTGAAACTCGTGTATTAAATAAATTCAGTGCACACAGACTGAAGTAGTTTAAGTCTTTGGTTCTTTTAATTGTGATGATTTTGGCTCACATTTCACAAAAACCCACCAATTCACTACATAAAACATTTAATTTATATATAATATAACATATATATAACGGTTTTTTTTTTACATTTAAACAATATCGAAGATGATTCTTGAATGTGTTAATAGTGTTTTCACTTCATACTGGCGCATTGGAGCTTCTTTCAATTCTTAGATGAATTTATTTAATTAAAACTTTGTGTTGTTTTGAGTACATTTTGTTTTTGAACTTTCAAAATGAAACTCACTGTGGTTTTCTTACTGTCTCTACCGGATCTGCTGTGGTGCTGCATAATCTGACATGTCAGCTCTTTATAAACTACAAGGTTTTCCTGTGTACGAACAATGGATACTTAAATTGTCTGTTAAACTTCCTTCGGCGATTTACAACAGGAAAATGGTATAGAAATTCCTCTGATTATAAGTTTGCATGATGTACCGAACAGACCTGAAAACATGAAGCCAGTCTGAAGTGTTGTTGTCTTGAAACTCGTATCACTTTGTGATGGTTTTCACTTTCTTAAGGCCGACACCATGAAGATCGCATCTTTTAACATCAGACGTATGGGTCCAAGCAAGCTGTCAGACCAAAATATTGTAAAATATCTCATTAAAGTGAGTTTATAATCTGACGGTTTAAGAAAATCATAGTAAAAGCTCAGAAGTATTATTAAAACAGACCACAACTGTTTTTGAACTTTCAAAATGAAACTCACTGTGGTTTTCTTACTGTCTCTACCGGATCTGCTGTGGTGCTGCATAATCTGACATGTCAGCTCTTTATAAACTACAAGGTTTTCCTGTGTACGAACAATGGATACTTAAATTGTCTGTTAAACTTCCTTCGGCGATTTACAACAGGAAAATGGTATAGAAATTCCTCTGATTATAAGTTTGCATGATGTACCGAACAGACCTGAAAACATGAAGCCAGTCTGAAGTGTTGTTGTCGTGAAACTCGTATCACTTTGTGATGGTTTTCACTTTCTTAAGGCCGACACCATGAAGATCGCATCTTTTAACATCAGACGTATGGGTCCAAGCAAGCTGTCAGACCAAAATATTGTAAAATATCTCATTAAGGTGAGTTTATAATCTGACGGTTTAAGAAAATCGCATAGTAAAAGCTCAGAAGTATTATTAAAACAGACCACAACACTCTTTCCTAGATCTTCTCTCGGTACAGTATAATCATTCTTCTTGAGGTGGTGGACAAATCGGGCAAATCTATAGCCAAATTTCTCCAGGAGCTCAACAGCACCAGGTCTGTATGAACCTTCAGAGATTCTCTTCACCATAACTGTAAAAAAAATCCGTAAAATTTACGGTAAAAAACGGCAAAATATTGTAAAATATCTCATTAAGGTGAGTTTATAATCTGACGGTTTAAGAAAATCGCATAGTAAAAGCTCAGAAGTATTATTAAAACAGACCACAACACTCTTTCCTAGATCTTCTCTCGGTACAGTATAATCATTCTTCTTGAGGTGGTGGACAAATCGGGCAAATCTATAGCCAAATTTCTCCAGGAGCTCAACAGCACCAGGTCTGTATGAACCTTCAGAGATTCTCTTCACCATAAAAATTCAGTAAAATTTACGGTAAAAAAACGGCAACTGTGGTTGCCCGAATTTTACCGTAAAAACTACGGTAGCAACGTTTTAGGTTTTACGGTTTTAACTTAAATTTACAGTAAAATACCGTAATTTCATTAACTGATATAATGTTAATATACCAAACTATTGAAGTACTGAAATCTGTTTTGTACCTTTGTAATACACTGATAACCACCAAATGCAGGAGGTGATGAGAAAGTCACATGATGAACCAAAGCCCATCACAAGCAGCTTTTAAATAATAACATATATAGAAGGTGCACAGTGTCATTCACACAAACACCAAACACCATCAGGGTGACACACATGAAACTGAAATGATGCAATAAACATTCATTTAACAACATTAGGTGTAACACACAACCCTAATATACAAAACTGATAAGAAAAAAAACTAAGAAGAAACAGTTATTTTAACAAAAAAACATCAAATTTGAAAATTTGGGAATTCTGGGAATGTCAATTTCACTGTAAATTATACGGTCTTTTTCACTTCCAAAAACGGTATACTACCGTAAAATGTCCAATACAGTTTTTCACCGTATATAGTAGGGGAATTTACCATTAACCATTTAACAGGTTTATACTGTAGCATTTTTAGTCTTTTACAGTTAAATTCACGGTCATTTTTTACAGTGGTATAGCTCAAAAGCCTAAACTCAGCCCAAATTTAATGTTTTTTTCCCCCACAGAGCTAATAAGAAACGTCCCTTCACTATGGTGGGAAGCTCCAGGCTGGGACGGACTCTTTATAAGGAACAGTTTGTCTGTTTCTACAGGTACAACATGTAGAAAATTTGTGTAAATTATGTTTTCAGCATTAAAATGGGAGCAAAAAAACGAAAGGATCGAATCATGCATTTCAAAATTTTGTAGCATTTGATACATCTTCCGTTTCCCTTAATGAAATTAGATGTTTAATTATGAATAGTCATACATGTTGAAAACACATTTTATTTTTTTGCTCATTTCTAACAGAAAAGATGAGGCCGAACTGGTCGACACGTACCAATACGAAGACAATCAAGTGGGTGACGAGGACGCTTTCTCTCGAGAGCCCTTCATCTTGCGTTTCCGCTGTAAACACACAGGTAACCTCAGTTAAACCTTGGACCAGTGCATTCAATTTCTGCACCAACTCTAGACTAAAAAGTCTTCAGTGATAACATGACATACTTCACCCAAAATGAAAAGTCTGGGTTCATTTACTCACCCTTATGTGGTCCTGTGTTCTTCTATTCAATGGGATTTGGAGCTTTCAACATTATGACGAATGGGAACTGAAACTTCATCAAAAGATGTAAAACCACCATAAAAGTGGTCTAATATAACTTATTTGAGAAACTGACCAAAACTGAAGTCATTATTCATTCGTTCATTGTAATTGCATGTTCCTACACAACCATAAATGTTTCAGGAGGTTGACCACATGAGGCCAATTATAGTCATTTTTGTCTATTACAGTGCTAAAAGATTTGGTGTTGATCCCTGTTCACACAAAGCCCAAAGACTCACAGAAGGAACTGGATGAACTATACGACGTCTTTCGGCATGTCATGGATATATGGAAAACGGATGTGAGTTGACACCTATGCAACCACAACACATTCCAGAGGAAATCTATAGTTTTCTTTGTTTTGGATAAAGCCTCTGCCGAATGTGTGAATGTACACATTCACAGGAATTGAGTGGATTTACCTTAGTTTATCTAAAGTGGAGATGCATTTTTGCCCAGCTAAAATACACAAGTGAGCTCTATAGTTTGGCCAAACATTGATTAGAGTTTGAGAGAAAGCTCTAACTGTCTTACAGAACGTCATGATCCTTGGTGACTTCAACGCGGACGGTGCCTATGTCTCCAAGAAGAAGATGAAGACCATCAGGATCCGCAGTGATCCCAATTTCCACTGGCTGATTGGGGACGATGTGGACACCACAGTTATCCAGTCCAACGACCACACCTACGACAGGTGAGGTGAAGAAATATAAATGTACTCACCTTTCATCTGCTGCCTGATCCAACAACAGCAAATAGAGTCCCAATTTATTTCTGATGTCGTTCACACTCATGCACTACTAACCAGTGCTACAAATGGATTCAGATCTTCCACTTTGATGTGTTCACGGACAGCCTCAAACTGCTGAGGCATGGTGCGATGTGACAAAACTCACACACACACACAGTGTAGACAGGGCGTAGGCACCATATTGAAAATGCGAGGCTGTGAAGGATAGACTTACAGGGCCAGATTTACTAACAGCTTGCACAGTCAGGATTAACATTAGTGATGAATAAGGCTGACCTTATTGCATATGCATTTGTAGGAGTTTCCCTTTCCAGTCACAACATATATGGGAAGAGAGTATTTTAAAGGGATAGTTCACCCAAAAAAATTCTGTCATTCATTACTCACCCTCATGTTGGATTCAGATCTTCCACTTTGATGTGTTCACGGACAGCCTCAAACTGCTGAGGCATGGTGCGATGTGACAAAACTCACACACACACACAGTGTAGACAGGGCGTAGGCACCATATTGAAAATGCGAGGCTGTGAAGGATAGACTTACAGGGCCAGATTTACTAAGAGCTTGCACAGTCAGGATTAACATTAGTGATGAATAAGGCTGACCTTATTGCATATGCATTTGTAGGAGTTTCCCTTTCCAGTCACAACATATATGGGAAGAGAGTATTTTAAAGGGATAGTTCACCCAAAAAAATTCTGTCATTCATTACTCACCCTCATGCTGTTCCAAACCCGTTAGACCTTCATTCATCTTCGGAACACATATTAAGTAGGGATGTAACGATTCACTCAACTCATGATTCGATTCACGATTTTGATTTCACGATTCGATTTTCTCGTGATTTTTTTTTAACAAAATGAGACTGAAGACAAATTATGCAGTAAATGAAAAGGTGTGCTTATATTAGGCTATTGCTGCCAGTGTTGGGGGTAACGCATTACAAGTAACGCGAGTTACGTAATCAGATTACTTTTTTCAAGTAACTAGTAAAGTAACGCATTACTTTTTAACTTACAAGAGAATATCTGAGAATCTCTTTTTTTTTCCCAATTTATTTATTGACAGCTCTCCTGTCCCCATGTTGAGAGAAATCAGAAGATGTTGCTGTAGTTCTAAAATAAATATGAATATGCATTAATTCATCTCACTAACAACAACAAAAAACAGATTCCGTATTCCTCATAATGAATAAAAATAATGCTCAGAATATGACGCAGACCTGCAATAATTAAATGTTAAACAACACAAATATCCTTTATGTATTTAATCCCACAACAGAATGGTCTGACTTTAGTTTTGTGAAACTTTACATAAACATATCTGAACGAAAGGAGCTGAATGAGACGCAGATTCACTCTCTGCCAGCAGGTGGCGCTTATGAACAGCAATGATTTAGTGTTTCCTGGGTTACCGCTGTAAACAAAGCAAAGCTTGTGCTTATAAACTCTACTTTAATATGTATCGTTTAGAGGCAAGATGAAAAGAGAATGCCATCTAAACTTTTCTAAAGACAGTCAGTTCCCCTCAGAAGAACATTCATATAAACTTCTACCCCAATTGTATCGCGATTTGCTCCCGATTTGAATCGTTCGTCACATATTTGAATCGATTTTCAACTGGCTCGTGGTTAATCGTTACATCCCTAATATTAAGATGATTTTGATGAAAGTCGAGAGCTTTCTGACCCTCCATAGACAGCAAGGGAACTACCTTGTTCAAGGCTGAGAAACGTTGTAAGGACATCGTTAAAATAGTCCAGTGACATCAGTGGTTCAACCTCAATTTTATGAAGCTAGGAGAATACTTTTTATGTGCAAAGAAAACAAAAATACTGACTTAATTCAACAATTTCTTCTTTTCCTGCCAGTCTCCACAACAAAGTATTCTCGTAGCTTCATAAATTTAAAGTTTAACCACCAATATCACATGGACTATTTTAATGATGTCCTTACTACCTTTCTGGGCCTTGAACGTGGTAGTTCCCTTGCTATCTATGCAGGGTCAGAAAGCTCAAAAATATCTTATGAACACAGGTCTTAAGGGTTTGGAACGACATATGGGTGAGCAATTACCCAGATAGCACACGTACGTCTGCAAGACGTCTGTTGAAGATCACTTGATCTGGAAAGCATCTGCTGTGAACAAACATCTGACAGACGTCTCTTAGATGTCAGTTTTACATACATTCTAAATCATAAACATCTTAAAGACATCTAATAAACGTCTATTTGACATCTGATAGGAAATGTCCCATAGACGTATTGCAGATGAGCAAACACTTGAAAAAATACGTCTTGTAGACGTCAAATAGACCTCTTCGTGATGTAAGTGTGATATCAGGGTAATGACAGAATTTTCATTTTTCAGTGAACTATCCCTTTCCATAAATTATAAAAGTTTATTTTGTTTGTATGTTTGTGGTAGGTAGTTTATTAATATTTGCACCATTATTTAACGCCCCAAAAAAGCATGTCTTTACCTATTTTGTACCTTTTATCATCTGCACAGTTTGTCTGCAACTCTATGCTAATTTGCTCTGCTCTTGGTAGATTGTGTTGGTCATTCTGGAAATGCGCTGGCTGCGTCTGTGTTCTTTAATTTGCCCATTGTCTGTCACCCGCAGAACTTTGCACTCCCATCAGCGCTTTTATGGGATTGTGCTCTCACGCTAATTCGCACTGTTTAGTAAATCTGGCCTACAGTCTGTACAATAGCACGCATTGTATAAAGTTCCTAGATCGCAGAATTTTCAAATCTTTTTTAATGAAATTTTTCTCCACTGAACGTTTCTTTTCTGAAAAGGCATTTCGTCAGCTGAACAATTGGTATGTTGTTAAATAACAGTACAATCCATTGAACACACTGGATTTCTGTCCTTCACAGTGGCCTTTTCATTCATGTCAGCAACTAAACATTGAGCTACCCTGACTAAAGTTATATTGTCTGTTGTCAGAAGTAGCGCAAGAGCCTGGAGTACTTTGGATATAGAACAGGGCATCATTGTGTAGACTGAATCACTGATTATATTAAGTTCTATGGACTTTTGTCGAATAGCGTCCTGCAACTCAAATCCGGTGTAGACATTGTTTTGAAATAATTACTATTAATTAAAAGATGAGCAAACCATTGCTTAGATTTAACTAGAAGCCTTAGAGGGCAAGGGTTTTCAACTAAAAATGCAAAACATTTCTTTGGCCATTTATTTACAGGAAAACTGCATTTTGGGGGCCTGAAAGTGCAAACTTTTGAAAACGGGTTTCAAAGTGCATGTTCATGCACAGTATTGTGCATGAAAACAATACTGTAATGAACTTAGTGTAAACTACAAGAACACAAAATTGTGAAAATTGTACACAAAAGTCTTCAAAAATGCAAAGGATTTCAGTTTTGGTACATTGTTGTTGTGTAAACATACCCTAAAAGGACAGGTCAGTCTGCCAGTCAAGCTTCGGAAAATGTTGATGGCAAATATTTTTTCTAGGATTGTGGTGTATAAGGACGACATGTTAAAAGCTATTGTTCCAAGATCTGCAAAACCTTTCAACTTCCAGGAAGCCTACAAACTTTCAGATGAAACTGTGAGTATATTAATTACATTAGTCAAAATTTTTTTTTTTAATAAATGTGAGGTTCGAATACAGATTAGAAAATAATATATTAATATGATTAATCTACGGCAGGCCCTGGACATCAGTGATCATTACCCAGTGGAGGTGAGTCTGAAGAAATCATCTGCGGCAAAGACCAGCGGCAAAGCCAAAACACAGAAACGCAAAGCATGATGGGATGCCGATGCACACTGTATGGGATCTTAACTTCATTCTACTGAGGGAGAGATGCTACCTCTTCATAAGATAATTCAGGCATTAAAAATAATTTAAAAGCAGTTATCTTTTCATGCTAATTTAATGAAATTTACATTTCAATATAGTTCACATGCTTATAAATGTTTGAAATGACTGTGAAATCTCAAAATAAACTTTTCATTTTTATTTTATTTAATGTCATTTTTCCAACAAGCTTATTATTTCATGCCTAAAGTGTTAATAAATGTGTTAGTTTGCACAGCTGGATACAACCACTAATTGGTAGCAAATTAATTAAAGAAATTCTATTTTAACACAAGAACTACTGTACTGTACAAACAATGCATTGGCAGACAAACAAGCGATAAAAGCCAAACCACTGCTATTGTTTAAAATTCATGCATCAAGCGCCTCTAGCAAACTCTAATTTAGCTTGTGGCAACAAGCATGACAAATCAGTTAACATGGACATCAGCTTCTGCATTACCGAACAGAGATCAATTACAGCAGTCCACTTACCCTCAAGGAATCAAGCAAACTTCATTAGCAAGAAATCATTCACAAATGAGATTAAATGTGCAAGAAGTCTTAAAGATGAAAAAGAACAATTAGGTAACCATGAATGTTTGTACCGCAATTTTTGTCGATTGTATTACAGGTGGTCATAAAAGTAGTCTGTAGATGTGTGAAATGCTCCAATAGTCCATCTCAGCAGATCCATGTACTGTAGATCACCATTGAAAGGTAAAAATAACACGGCTTCTTCTTTCCTCCCTGACATCTGGGCACATGCTGTATAGTTGTCTGCGGGACTAATTTTGAAAAGAGCCATTCAAAAAACTGCGAGCCAGGTGTTTGGACACGTCTGAAGATTGGCTGAGTCGGCTGAATCATGATGATGCAAGGAAAGGTCAAACACAAAATAGAAAACGAACATTAACTTGTGCCTCTCTTTGTTGTTAATAAAGATTAGTAAAAATGTGTATAAACTCACCGATTAAGGAGGGGATCAAGTCCATCGATGAACATCTCTTCTGATTTGGAGTCACTAACTTTCTCTATCCTTCCTTCATTTATCAAAGAATAAACGGCGATGGAGAAATTTAAGCAGGAGTGCGCTCTATTTACAACAGCTGTTATATGAATATAAGATTAATCCAAGACTGAGAATAATCTAGGATTAATGTTGCAAAAATTTAATTGTTTAATTAGTAGATTAAAGGCATAATATTGCATGAATAAAGCAGGAATATTTTTACGCGAAATACACTATTAAAGGGTTAGTTCACCCAAACATGAAAAGTTTTACTCACCCCAGAGCCATCCTAGGTGTATATGACTTTCTTCTTTCAGACGAATCTAGTCGGAGTTATATAAAAAATGGTCCTGGCTATTTCAAGCTCTATCATTGCAGTCAGCGGGTGTTACAGTGCTTCAGTCCAAAAGAAGTGAAATAAAAAGCGCCACCATAAAAAAAGTGTCTCACACGGCTCTGGGGTGGGGTGGGGGGTGAAAAATAAAGGCCTCCTGTAGCGAATCGATGCGTTTTTGTAAGAAAAATATCCATATTCAAAACGTAATAATCACTTTAATGTAGCTTGTGCTCACTGTTGTACACTGGAAGCAGCTCCGGGAGGATGACGTATGAGGTCGGCGTTGCGCATCCGCCGGTGAGTCTCGTGAAAACCAATGTTTGTTAACAGGAGCAAAGTAAGCAAAGTTTCCTTACTTTAGCAAAGGAAAACCAGTCTCCTCTTGGCTTATATCGAAATCCTCCAACATTCTTCTTTACAAATCCTCATTTTGTACTTCTAATAAGTGACCGTTGTTTTGTTTCGATCTCTCTGCGTGCGTCACTTCTGAGCGGCGCATGCGCAAAGCCGACCTCATACGTCATCTGCCCGGAACTTCCTCCGTTTACAACAGTGAGCGCAAGTTAGAGTAAAGTGATTATTACGTTTTGAATATGGATATTTTTCTTACAAAAACGCATCGATTCGCTACAGGAGGCCTTTGTTCACCCCCCGGAGCCGTGTGAGACACTTTTTTTATGGATGGGCGATTTTTATTTCACTTCTTTGGGACTGAAGCACTGCAACACCCGCTGACTGCAATGATAGAGCTTGGAATAGCCAGGACAATTTTTAATATAACTCCGCTGGATTCGTCAGAAAGAAGAAAGTCATATACACCTAGGATGGCTCTGGGGTGAGTAAAACACAGCCTAATTTTCATATTTGGGTGAACTAACCCTTTTAAGAGGAAGCGGCATGATTAAAAATGTTAGACATTGCTTCTAAATCAAAACATTTAGAAAAGCAGGTTCATACATGAAAAAGTAGCGAACAGAATCATAAAAAATTTAACAAATCATTTTCTATATCCAATTTTATTTAACGGACTTGGTTTGTTAGTGATTTCATTTCTGATTCTTTTAGTATTTGATTAGATCGATTCTAACTACTCATAAATGTAGGATAGTTTTTGTTTTGTGCATTTTATGAAATATTTGCATGTTTTAGTAACTACACTAATTTAAGTCTCACAAGTGTTTATTTCACATAAAAAAAACAGTAACAGATCCCAATTCGCTAGTTGCGCTGTACTGTGTTTGATGTTGCAGATCGACTGTGTGTCATTCTGCTCTCATTTTACCTCTCTCATCACATTCGATACACATTACTATGGTGGCCCAGCAGTGCACAACACAACGCAATTAAAAAGCAAACATAAGCTCACAACACAACAAAATAAAAAACGAAAAAACTAACATAAGCTCACAACACAATGAAATTAAAAAAGCAAACATATGCTCACAACACAACGGAATTAAACCACAATGCAACGGAAATGCTCCTGACCACTAGGGAGCAGTGTTGACAGTTAAACACCGATCGATTTTTAAATGAACAACGTGTTTTTACTGAATGTTTTGATATCTTGGTAATCTTATTGTATCGATTCATGAATCGAGCAGAAAATAAATCAATATTATTTTCGATTTGGACAGTTTAGCTCTTGCGCACAATTGCTCGTTTCTGCAGACCACCTGCCCCCTAGTGGTCAGGAACATTTCCATTGTGTTGTGGCTTCATTTCGTTGTGTTATGAGCTTATGTTTGTTTTTGTTTTATTTCGTTGTGTTGTGAGCTTATGTTTTTTTTTTTTTCGTTGTGTTGTGAGCTTATGTTTGTTTGTTTTTTATGTAGTTGTGTTGTAAGCTTATGTTTGCGTTTTTAATTTCGTTGTGTTGTGAGCTTATGTTTGTTTGTTTTTTTATGTAGTTGTGTTGTAAGCTTATGTTTGGGTTTTTAATTTCGTTGTGTTGTGAGCTTATGTTTGTTCGTTTTTTTATGTAGTTGTGTTGTAAGCTTATGTTTGCGTTTTTAATTTCGTTGTGTTGTGAGCTTATGTTTGTTTGTTTTTTTATGTAGTTGTGTTGTAAGCTTATGTTTGCGTTTTTAATTTCGTTGTGTTGTGAGCTTATGTTTGCTTTATTAATTGCATTGTGTTGTGCACCACTGGGCCACCGTACATTACTATGCTACTTTCATTCTCCAATTCTGAGTATTGTTTCTCTCGTGTTTGATTTTGCTCTCATCTATGCGTTTCGGATAGTGATCCTAGTGCACACTAGACTCAAAATCCCAGCACTTAGGCCTTTACTCTGCCTCATTCTCACTGCTGCTATCTGGGTAATGCCAGCTAGTGAAACAGTCACGCTTGGGAACAAAGCACAGCGGCACATCACAAGTCACACACATGACTGGAGTTTTGTTGGGGCACATTTTGCATTTTCGTCTTCCAATGCTGCTATCCCCACTGATGTACTTGGGCAAATGGGAGTAAGGGGTAAGAGTCGGGCGTATTTGTGCAGGGGCGGATGCAGGTCCTGTTCCTGCAAGCTCTGCAACAAGCGCCTCCCGAAAGGCTTTCTGAGTCAGAGGCTTCTGGTTATTCATCTTGGCCATCTGCTGGTGCAAAATTAAAGCATTGACTACAGCGATGTCCACAAAGTGGTAAAAAAAGGACCGATACCACCTTCTTGTTTTATGTAAAACTGTGTAAAATGAAATGAGTGCGTCAGACAGATCCACTCCTCCCATGTGCCTGGAATTAATGAAAAATTAATTATAAGATGCATAATATAAAACGTATAACTTCAAACCAGTTAATAAAATCTACTAACTTGTTGTAGTCCAACACTGCGGCTGGAACGGGGAAATCCTGAATGGCCCAAACTCCATCGGCTCCTTTCACATTCCTCTTAATGGAGTCCCCATTAAAGGCCTTATGAAAGGTGGAGCACATCAGCACGTCCCTCTTGTCCTTCCACTCAACAAAAAGCAGATTGTCTTCCCTAAACCAGCGAATATTGCCACGAGGAGCCTGTGTCTTTAAGTGGCCAATGCGGTTTGCGCGAACGGTGCCACAAGCCCAGATCTTTTTACTGAGCAGGTCTCTGAAGAGCTTGGGACTGGTGTAAAAGTTGTCAACAAACAGCTTGTAGCCGCTTCCCAACAACCTTTCATTTGCCAGAATCATGACAGAATCATAACTAATGCCTTTGCTATCCTCCAAATTGGCCTTTCCTTCATAAATGAAGAAGTCCCACGTGTAGCCACAGAGGGAATCTGCCAGTACAAAAAGTTTGTACCCCCATTTTGTAGGTTTGTTCTTCATGTATTGTTTGAGTCCATTTTTAGCCTTCGATGCCACCATTCGTTCATCAATGGAGATTTTCTGAGAGGGATGGAAAGAGGCTCTGCAGGCATCCCTAATGTCCTGGTACAGCGGTTTGATCTTACACAGGCGGTCGTATTCAGGTGTTCCCCTCTTCTTGTCATTTTCTGCATCAACTTTGGGATCACTAAGATGAAGAGCTTTACTGATGCTCATAAACTTCCTGCCAGACATGATTTGAGAAGGATAAGGAAGATTATATATCTGAGACTTCCTCCAATAGTCTGTCAGTTTGAAGCATTTCAGCAAACCCATGTAAATCACCAGTGCCAGGAATGACTTCATATCTTTAATTGAAATGTCCTCCCATGGCTTCTTCGTGCCTTCCTGACGCATGGCCCCGTATGCATTTGAGTTTGCTAAAATTGTCCGCAGGACTGTTTTTGAAAAGAACAACTCAAAATACTGCAGAGGGCTGCACGATGCATTGGAGA